ATGTCACTTTGTCATGGGAGTGGGTTCATGACTTCACAATGTGGGCCATCATCAACTCAACCTGCCAGATGACCTTGACCATGCTTTATGCTTGTCCTGTTTAGAATTGGGGTTTGGATAGCCCCACTTCATCTTGGAAAGCAGTTTTCATGAGATGTGGCTAAAACTGATCAGTGTTAAGTGGCTGCAAAGATGGAGAACCAGAAGGCTCTGGCTTTGCTACATGAAGGAAGCTGGTGTTGAGGCTGGGGTGTGGCTAAAAGTTGACTGAGAGGTCCCCAGCAAGCGACCACTGGACAAGTTAGTGCCTGTGCCACCAAGCACAGCATCTTTGAAGCTTCTGGCCACACCTTTGCCATTTGGCTGATTCTCTCCTCACTTAATGAACCAAAGACATGAGCTGTTCTTATTGATGCCCAGAGGAGATGGCTCTTTGTTGGAGACTGTCTCCCTGTCCTGTGGATGTGGCATAGTAAGACAATTTTCTTGTTCTAAAAGGCAAGATTATCTAAACTACAGGAGTGGAAATTAATGGAGAGGTGAAAGATTGCAAACAATGACAGAGTCTTTCGGCCTCCCTCCCCCAGTAGTAAAGTGGGCATGGGTCTACCCCTCACATGTGCACCTCGCCATGGGCTGCAGTGGGAAGAATTAGCCTTAGCTTTTACCATCTGTCTTGTCTATAATGACGCTGTGAACTCCATTTGTTTTGAGAATGAAATTCTGTGGCCATTAAAATCATTTATGTTCTCTAATAAATGAAAGAGGTTGAATTTCATAGTCCAATAAATGCGTGCCTAAATCCAGAGACAATGAAAATTAGGTATTTTAAAAACTGATCAAATAAATCTTAAAGGAGCTGCACCTGTTAACATTCATTCAACAATTCTGGACACCTGCCTTCCATGTGTCGGCCATAGACTCCGTCAAGGGTCCCTAGTGGATGCTTCCAGGCTAAGGGGAGAGAGAAGGACTGGGAGGGAAGGAGCTCCCGAGGTTGCAGGTTCAATAGGCTGAAGGCCAGATCTCAAAGGAGTGAGGGGTGAGAAGGCTTTAAGGCTGAGAGGCTGTGACAAGGGAGGGGGACAGTGGGGCTTTGGAGATGGACTAATTCTGGATGATGACCCGGTCTCAGCCTGTGGCCCCAGAAGTGAAGTTGTTGAAATGGAGTGGAGGTGACACTCAGGAGTTGAGAAGATCAAGGGACTCTGAACTTTGGGTAAGGGATGAGCCATCCATGTAGACACTTAGCCAGGATGAAGGCAGGAGCCGGAGAGGAGAGGAAGACGGGAAGTGGGGTGCTAAATTCTCGGCAATGTTGGGGAGTGGCCTGGGGGCCATTAGATGACAGTGATACAGAGGGGGACAGAGTGGGATAGCCAGCAGGTATGAGCCTCAAAGAAGTCAGAGTATAATTAAATTCACTGCAGTAACCTAAGGAAGTTATAAGGTATTCTGTGAAGACCACGTTTATTTGCCCAAATTTTGGGAAGTAAGCAATCAGGCTCTTTGTGTGGATGGCTCTAGGGAGCAAGATGTTAGAATAGAGGGGATCAGAGACAACACTTCTAACCCCATTCCTCTGCAGATATAGAAACTCATGTCTATAGTCACTCAAGGCCACAGCTGGCCAGACTGACTTGCTCAATCCAAAATTCAGTTAAAATAGTGGGAGGCCAACAGAGAGACAGCATCTTAGGAGTCTGCCTGCCTTCAAGGGTCGCACAGAGGATAGAGTTCCCTCGTACCTGCTACAGCTTTCCACTTGCCCTCACTGTTTTACTTTTTTCTCCAAAGGCAACAGCATGGACCAGTTCAGGACTCTAGGATTTAATTTCTCTAGAGAAGTCATTTGCAAACTAGCAGCTGTGTCATTCTGGAAGCCTGGTCAGGGGGAAGTGCTCTCAGACTCTTCAGTCCGATGTGAGAGTGGTCAGACCCTGTGAGGTCATCTGCACATGCACACTATAACCAAAAAGAACCTGGAATGATGTCCAACATCTGGAGAGGAGCAGTTGCGTTACTGTTTTGGTTATGCCTTATTAAAAGCCACGTTTTAAAAAATATGGGCCAGCTACAATACAATGAAATTAATAGGTGGTAACCAGTATTAAGAGAAATTAAATAACAGGAGAGAAAATATCAGGTCCAATCCAGATGCCTTTGAAATTTTCTTTCAGGTGTGTATATGTGTATGTGTGTACATGGTGGGTCCTGTGTGTGTGCTGAAATGATTCTCAGCAAGATTTAAAATTCCAAGGGATGCATTATTTTTAACTATATTTTTATTAACTAATAATATTTAACTTTAAATTAATTTTATGCTAATTCAATTCAAACAATTCAGTGGAGGTTTTTTTTTTTTTGGTGAGGAAGATTAGCCCTGAGCTAACATCTGTTGCCAATCCTCCTCTTTTTCCTGAGGAAGATTGGCCCTGAACTAACATCTGTGCCAATCTTCCTCAATTTTATACGTGGGACGCTTGCCACAGCATGGCTTGAGGAGTGATGTGTAGGTCTGCACCCAAAGTCTGAACCTGCAAACCCTGGGCCACCAAAGCGGAATGTGCAAACTTAATCACTATGCCACCAGGCTGGCCCCTCAGTGGAGTTTTTCTTGTTTTTTAAGGCTGGGAACATTTATTTAAACAAGGAAATGAGGCTTATCCTCTATTGTGTCCTGGAATGACTTTTTTTAAACTCAAAATGATAAGAATCAGAATTAAATATTTTCACGAGAACAAGTTTAATCTTCGCAAGCAATCATGAAATCAATGACTAAGACTCTAGAAGCAGTTTTTTCAGAGACTATAATTCTCTACCTCAAGACTTATGGATAAGCAAATTATAATTTTTATCTCTAAATCTTTCTTTCATCTAGTCATTCATCATTAACTAAAAATTCATCTGCTTACAAAAGACACATCCTGTTTTGCAGGTCATTGTTGACTGAAACAAAGTGACAGGAGCAAAGGGACAGTTCTGGCTGCAGAATTAATGGGAAGCCAGGCACAGTCACCAAACCTTTTCAGGCCCATCAGGGCACAATGACTGACGGGCACATTTTGATGGCTGCTGTGGAGGACCGACCGGCTCCCTAAGCCTGCGTGGATCAGGACGGTGTGTAAGCGAGTCAGGAGGAACACGGGGACTCGAGCACCTGAACGGAGGGTTTCGATACCTTGGATTGTTCACGCACTGTTTTGGTCAGGCCCGAGTTTTCAAAACATGGGCTAGCTACAATACAAGGAAACTATTTACCAGGTAGTAACTGGCACTTAAAATCAACAGCAGAACAGAAAACAGCAGGTGCTTTGTGAAAGTTTTCTTTTGGTTTGTGTGTGTGTGTGTTTGACAGTGTGTGTGGGTCCTCCTGTGCAACGCCTTTCTTATTAGGGATCACAGTCAAAAAAGTTTGAACCTGTTACTCTCAGGGACGAGAGGGTGGACGCAGATGTCCGGTTCCCGCTGTGTGTCCTGGGTTCTGACTTTGCCTCAGGCAGAAGCTCAGAAAAGGGTCCAGGGAAGGGTTTTGCACAATCTTACCCACAAAGCCGGGACACAACTGAAACAAGATGGTGCAATACTGGGCCCTGTTCTGAGGCGCTTCACCCGCCTCCATTCCTTCCCTACAGGGAGTCACACGACCCTTTCTAACAGGTGCTGTTGTCACTGCCCTCATTCCACAGATGAGGGCGATCAGGCAGAGGCAAGATCTCACCACTAGTTAGTGGAACAGCCCATCGGACGCCAGACTCTTGATCTCTACCCAGCGCTGCCTGATGACCTGCTCCAAGGGGATCCGTCCTGGGCTTGGCGCTCTCAGTCCATCTAACTCTCCCAGAGTTACTGCAGTGGCTCTCAGATGTTCGATTGCAACATTTCCCACACAGAGAAAGCTCCCATCACTGCCAATGCCCATCATCGCCCTCATCACTTGCGTATCGCCTGATGTGGGCCTGAAGCTGTTCTTATTGCTTCACATATGTCCTTTCCCATGAAACAACACACATCCTTCGTATGAGTAAGTGCCTCATCTGTTTTAGTCTAGTCTGTAAAAACAAAACCCTACTGGTTTTTTAACCCACTGCATTGATTTCACAACCACTAATGGGTATAATCCAGTTTGAAATAATTCTCTAGCCTCTGTCTACCAAGAGGTAAAACTACTTGTGAAGGAAATGAATTAGTAAGGAATTGAACCACTCATTTTCTCAATGTGAAGGCCAGCTCTGCTTTGTGAGAGTTCACCAGTGTCACCATTTGATCGGCCTGTGTCTACTGGTGGGCAACCTCCACACCACGGCACAGCAATGGGCAGTTATGAAGTGTTTCCACACACACCATCTGACCTAACTTTCACAATGTGGCACGTTGAGCATTACCATCCCCCTCATGGAGCGAAGCTAACAGCTTCAGAGAGGGGGAATGACCCGCTCAAGGTCTTTCAGGTGAATCAGGAAGGAGGACTTCTGACCCAATATTGCATTTCTTTCTTTTCTTTTTATAATCTGTGTCTCTTTTTCTGATTGCAAAAACAACATGAATTCCTTATTTGAAAGTACTCTAAAGTGCCAAGAAGAAAGTAAAAATTACCCATACGCCCTTCTTAGTGATAATCCCTTTTAACGTATTTGGGTATTTCTTATTGTTTGGGGTATTGCTTATTTTTGCTTTTATGAAAATAGCCTCGCCTTAGATAGCCCATACAGAGACAGGCGAAGCAGCAACCGCTTCAGCGGAAGGGCTGTTCCTGCCAAAGCCTCCCCAGCCAGGCCCCTCCTCTTCCTCCTTTCCCTGAAGACACCTCACAGTTCCATGCAGAAGAGGTGGTGGGCGTGGGGGGACAGACTCATTGAGCCAGACTCAAAAATTTGGGGACATTAAAGGTTCAAAATAGAAAAAAATGGGTTTTCTATCTAAAACTAATTCACACCAAGGGGGGTTGATGGAGGAAAGAGTGTTATGCAGACACCCCGGCCATATTTGGAAACAATCACCTGTATAGAGAAACGTGTTGGAGTGTCCTCCCACCACGACGTCCACGCCCTTCACTTTCTGAGCGATGAGTTTATCCATTTCAAAACCAGAGTGTCCCAGTGCAATAATTTTGCTCACATTTAGAGTTTTCAGCTTATCTACTTCAGGCTGCAACGCAGTGATTTCATCTTCAAATACTAAATTCGTTCCTAGGGAACAAAATAAGTAAAATAGATATTTAGTAATAGTAATTTTTATTATATTATATTGCTCATTATACATACATGTCAAGTAAAAATACCTTAATCTACTAAAACTCTTAAATCACTACGACCAAAACATATTTATAAATTAAACATAAAACCCCTACAAAGCCAATAAAAACTCACATCAAGATCCTCAGTTACATTCACTGAAGGCCGCACTAATTTAAGGTTGTGGATGATAGCATGTCGCTTAAATTCCATCTCAAACTATGGGGAGGTGTTAGATTGGAAAGCCTATCTGTTTTTTAAAATCTATTTTTATATTTATACTTCCATGGTGTCAACGCAGAAAATGCCTGAGTACATAAGAATGATGAGCTACGTGCTTGTCCACTCGTCACGCCATACACCTTAAACTTACACAGTGCTGTATGTCAGCTATAGCTCAAAAAAATTTAGTAAACTCTAAGGCTTTTTTTGCAAGTTCAGGATAATCAATCTTCAATCTTTAAACTGTCAGTCAGTAGTCCTTTGGACACAAATCTTACATGTCAGGTGACAACCTGTCTTGTTCACTTGATGAGGTCAGCATTGGGGCACCCCCGAGCTCTGCACTAGCCAGGGCCTCACCCAAGTATCGTGGGCACTGGCACGTGCACATTCTGCCCTGGCTGCTCACTCCCCACAGCGGTACCAGCCGATCGCCTGCCGGCTCAGGTCGACTGCACAGTGGCCGCTCCGTGAGCTGCAAGCACGTGCTACCCAGCACGGCAAGACCTCGGTCTCTCCCTGTCTCTGCAGCCAAACCTCAGCAAGCCTGATGTCTCATGGCTTTCACTGGCAGAGAGGAGACAGCAAACACAGATGCTGCCCTGAAGTCACGTCCAGTACTCTGTGACAAGGGAGCCCTCCAGATGATCCAGACTCCTTTAGGCTAAATTTCTAAGAACCATCACTAAAATGAAAATGTCAAAACATGAATAACATCTCAAAAGGAACGTTCAGAACCCAGGAGTCTTCCATCTCCAGTCTGAGAAGGATTCACCTCTCCAAAGAGTGACAAGACTGCTGAACACATCCCTGTGATGCTGAGATGTTTAGGAGTCTCTGTGCTCCAGGGGGGATCTCAACATTAGTCAACTCAACACGAGCAAATGAGCAGGGAAGATAAACAGCACGGCTGCAGGCAGAGCCAGGGAGGCCCCGGACTAGGTGCCTGAGACTCAGCAGCATACGGATGCATGCGGGTTTGACCAGCAGTGTTGCCAGGAACTCACAGGCAGCATTTAGAAATCAGGAGTTGCAAGAGCTTTGCCACCACTGTCTGCCTTGAGAAGGTCAGAAATAGTCTGCCCCTTGCCAGTCACCTCAAGAAACCCAGGACTCCTGGTCACCCCTGAGTGCTATGTCACCTTCGTGGGCCTCTCCCCGAGCCTCCCTTTAAACTGCCCCCTCCCCCATGCCACACTTGACCCTTCTGCCTCCTGCTCAGTTTTTCTCCCCAGCACTTACCACCTTCCAACCAGCAAACGTTTTACTCATTTATTCTCCCACTAAACACGTAAGCTCCAGTGGGCAGGGGTTGTTTTGGTCAGTGTCCCTGGTACATAGACAGGCACTCCAGGGAATGAATGAACAAACGAATGACTATTGAGACTTTCAGAGAATGCTACCACCTTGTGCTTCAGTTTGGCTGGCAGGAAGGAACAAAAAGTTCAGAGAAATGCCTCTGAGCACAAAGGCATGTGCTCTCCTAACACATCGGGAAGCTCGTGGGGTCAGTCACCACACATGCAGAAAGCCTGGGATAGAGGTATAGGAATTTCATTATCCAGCTAAAGTAAACTAAATGTGCTAGAAACACAAATTGTACCTGTGGGTGCCCAGGCCACCGGGACTGGAGGAATGGGGCTGGATTAGGGGCCAGAGATCTGTAGGAAGAGCCCACACTGGCTGCTGGGCCAGTGGTTTTGGAAGAACCAAGCGTCTCCAGAAACACTGCTCCATACCCCAGCTCCTGCACGAGTCCCCACACAAGCCAGCCTTTCTCTCCTGGAGCTGCTGGGAAGAGCCCCGCCCCTGCATATCCTCTTCCTTTGTACAGCCTGATAAAGGACTAAAATGGGTGCCGTCAGAGTCCCAGCAAGGCCGGTCGGATTTCTGGAGCCCCACGGCTCTCCATGAACACCCCCCGTCTCATTGGTGACTATGAAAGAAGGGAAGGGCTGGCCTCGTGGCCGAGTGGTTAAGTTCGCGCGCTCCGCTGCAGGCAGCCCAGTGTTTCGCTGGTTCGAATCCTGGGTGCAGACATGGCACTGCTCATCAAGCCACGCTGAGGCAGCGTCCCACATGCCACAACTAGAAGGACCCACAATGAAGAATATACAACTACGTCCTGGGGGGCTTTGGTGGGAAAAAGGAAAAAATAAATAAATAAAATCTTTAAAAAAAAAAAAAGAAAGAAAGAAGGGATAACGCTGTCCTCCAAATCACGCCAGAACTCCTCAGGCTGGCGTTCGGGAGGCCCTACAACTCACCCAGTCCTCACCCAACTTCCTAGCTTCCCCTCCTCAGAACCCCTGTTCCAGGAAACTGAACTATCTGCTCTTTTGTAACTGTGGCCCTACACTTCCCTGCTCTCCTGTGTTCATTCCAGCAGCATGTGCTGAGAACTTCCCATCCACCGGGCACCATGCGGCACACGGAGCAGTGGCTGAGGCAGACAGGGTCCCTGTGCTCACGGAGCTTGTGTCCGACCTCACTTCTGGAATGCCCTTTGCCCCACGTGCTTCACACGGCCCTCCGGGGGCCTGGGAGCTTCTTCCCCAGGTCTGTCTGACCCCAAGTTGGCCACCACTCCTTTCACTCACCTCGCCCAGCCCTTCCCCCTTCCCTGACTTTGTTTTTGACTCTCTTATGGCATTTAATTACATTCTATCCTAAATGAACACAAAAACCAGTGGATGGAATACAACCTATGGAGACACACAATTCTTCAATTATTCAACAAGTCCACATCTTTATCCAGAGACCCTAAGCTGGCCTCTATACTATGTTCTAGATGTTCACTGAGAGGACACCCAGGCTCGGTCCTCAGGCTGCTTAGGCTAGCGCAGGAAGCTAACAGGAAGGGACGAATGCAACAAGGGGAGGTGCTCAGGCGGAGGTGTTTTCTGAGGTGTTGGGGACCCAGAGCAGGAGCGTCCAACCCCATCTGGATGGGCTGTCATGGGGGAAGCGGCTGGGCCACTCACCCCAGCCCTATCCACACTGGCAACTGGTTTGTTAGAAGTTAGGCAGCCTGGTTCACTCTGTGGTCTCCACCTTCTCCTCTTTGCAGCAAAGCCCTAGGAGGCCCCAAAACCAGCAGCGTCCCCGAGGCCCAGGGAAGGTCTGGTCAGCCGTGCAGTGCGGTCTGCAGGGGGAGGGGGGTCCGCGGGCAGGCTGGTGGGGTGGAGAACAGCTGAGGCTGTCAGTGGGCTCCCTCTGGCACAACCATGTCCCTCTTGCTCAGAAGGCACCTCCAAAATAATTCAAAAGCCAGTGACTTGTCACGTCCATAACTGCCCTGTGGTTCCACAAGGACCTCAGCAATAGCCATTGAGCGAGTGTCATGTGGTGAGCAAAGGTCTGGTCCCCTGTGGGACAGACGTCTATGTACCACCTGGAGTGCCTGACAATGTCATCTCCCCCACCAGTGGAGACAGCCTCATGCCCCTCGCCTTCACGCGGCTGCAGGGCCCTCCCCGCTCAGGCGCAGAGCCGGGCTGCTCAGGGCCAAGAACCACAGACCTTCCTGCTGTTGTTTCTAATGGTCTGGACCTACTTGAATAACAACAACAATAAATATATTATTTTTCTAATTGTCAAAAATTATACGTCCTTTATTAGTTAATTCTTCACGAAAACCTTTGTTTCTAGATAATGCTAGCTCCTACTTTCCCTCTTTTCTTCAAATATGGAAAAAAATTAATTTGGATAATTTAGAGAAAACGTCATTTTTATTCTCATTGTCAAAGTGTTTCAGTGAAAGAGTTTCTATAAAAGTGGTTCAAAAATGCTTCTTGAATGGTCTTAAGATTATATATGTATCTATGTGTGTACATATCTATATACAGATATAGCAGATATATATTAAGATATATACCATAAGACCATTCAAGAATATACATGTTTCCCAGAAAGCCAGATACAACAAAGTCATTAAAACTACAAGAGATAAATAATGAAAAGGGAGAATGGAGAGTTAACTAGCCATATAAAAATCATACTAGAAAAGGAAAGACAAGGTAAGTTGAGGGAAAACCTTAGCTCCGGGCCCCCGGGCTCCCCAGGCAGAAGGGCAGCGAATTATGTGGCTCCATGCTCCAGTGAATGACTCTGCACTGTTTAGCACTGGATAGAAATCACCCTCTTGTCCGATTTTGAATGCACTGAATTACTGCACTGTTTATGTCAACAAAGCAGTTCATTGAGCAGAAGGAGAATGTCGGAGAATGTCTTTAAGAAGCAGCTTAGAACAACATGGAAGCCACCCGTTGGGTTTCATCAATGTCATCCTAAGTTTGCCATCTGTCCAACACCACACGTTGTTCCTCCTTTTACCCACGGTCCATAAAGATAATGCCAAGTTCTGATTTAAAGCATCTATTTTCAAGTATCGAATGCTATAAAAGTAGAAAATACCTGGATTTGAGAGAAAAGGGGTTTCTTTTGAAGTGTATCCAACAATCCCCACAAGTTCGGCACCAACAGAAAGAATTTTATACGGCAAATAAAGTCCGGATATTTGGGACGCTAGCGGCCCCTTTGCTTTAATATTTGCACTCAGAATTGGAAAGTTGGCCTTTTTGAGGAGCGGATCAATCAGTCCTTCTACACCGTTATCAAATTCATGATTTCCCAGTGCCTGGTGGAAAGGGAAAAGAGAAAAAGAATTAGGCACGCCGGAACTTCTAATAAAAGCATACTTTAAGGAATGTTCCATTAGACCAGCGGCTCCCAGGCCCGGCAGGGCTCTAGGGGACCGACTGAATGTCCTCTGTCCTCCTCACCCCCCGAGATCTGACTCGGTGCCCCTGGGGTTGGGCCCAGGGACACTCACATAATCGGGCTGTTTAAGAATTGCTCCCCACGTCCCGCATCCCCTACTGAAGGTGGCATCAATGTGCATGAGACTCGCCTGGACGGCTGGCGAGATGTCCATCGTCCTGCCATCCCCAGGTCTGGGAAGGTCTGAGAGTCTGCATTTATTAGGCTCCACCCAGCCTTTCATGTTCCCTTTTCTGTCATAAGCCCACACTTCAATCCGCCAACCCAATTATTCCAACCACCCTCTGCCAGGCGGAACCGTTAAAATCAAAAGGACTTTAACAAAAGGTGACTGGAAAGGTATTGTAGGGAGAGACCCCAGAGGCCTCTCTTCCTCATCGCATCTCCTCGGGCATTCTTCCCTTATGTTCCCACAACTGTTTTTTCCCAAGAGGACTCCGTGGTCTAATCCTTCTCCCAGAGGCAGGCAGGGGATAGCACTCGGCATTGCAGAGCGGGCACCGGTTTCTTCCTTGGCAGCTCTGGGCCACCCTGACTTTCATTCCCAGCAGTTTCATGTCTGAGGAAGAACAGGATGGTGAAATGATGGATCACACGGCCCTCAGGGCATGCTGGACCGCTCTGGGCACAGGGCTCTTCCAGGCGCTGCCATGCTTTCACGCAATGCTGCCCTCCCCCGTGCCCTGCGTTCTCCATTCCTCACTGTTCTGAGTGCACAGCAACCACTTTCACATCTGGCAGCTTCCCCTGGAGTAACATTGACAAAACACAACATGCCAGCCACCTCCTCTGAGAAACTTTCCACTCCTTTCTCCACCGGCTCCTGGAATGAGCCCATCTCCAAGACGCACCTACCCACCCGCTCTGGCTGCAAAGGCGGTCTTGCTAACTTAGTACTTAAACCAGTGAGTCTCAAACCTTTTGAACACCACCCCCGATTTTGCTTCACTTTGTGGGTCATCTGGGAACAGGCCTGGAAGTGCTGGCTGGTGACCTCTCAGTCTAATTAGGGCCTCTTCTCTCATAGCCCCCACTCTCTTCCTTCCTGACAGATTCCTCACTCTAACGGCATGTTCGTGGGGGCCTGGCCAGAGTGAGTGCTCCCTGAGCCACTGTGTCCTGCCACCTCCACCCTTCCTGGCACTGTAGGCCCTCACCTGCCACGCAGGCACTCCCGAGCATCTGCGGCTCAAAGGCTTGTGTATGTTATGTCCTCACATGTGTGTTTATACAGAGAAAGCAACACAACGTCTTCAAATTCCCACATATCTGCCTCACCAGTTAAACTCAGCATTTCTGAATTTGCCTTTCCCCTCAATCTCTGAATATCTACTCATTTTTATTCTTCCTCTTACCTAATTTTCTTGTTGTTAGTGCAGTGGAGTCAATGCCGACTCCTCACTGTGCACAGCAGAGCGGAGCCCTGCCCTGTCGTTTTGTGCCACCCTCTCACCTTCCAGCGCTGTAGCAGACCGTGCCCTGCTGCTATTCATAGGGTTTCTAGGGCCAGTTTTTTCAGAAGTGGGTGGCCAGGTCCTTCTTCCTAGTCTGTCCTAGTCTGTAAGCTCCACTGAAACCTGTCCACCATGGGTGACCCTGCTGGTATTTGAAATACCGGTGGCAGAGCTTCCAGCATCCCAGCAACACACAGCCACCACAGTGTGACAACTGACAGACGGGTGGTGTGGTTCTCTGACTGAGAAATGGATCGGCCCCATGGCAGTGAGAGCATCGAATCTTAACCACTAGACACCATCCAACTGCCACGTGGATATTTCCCCCAACATCTCACAGGCACCCCAAGCTTACTGCTCTCAAAGCCCCCTCCTCAGGGAGGTTTCGTGCTGTGAGGTTGGGATTATTAATATCCTCACTGGACAGATGAAAGAAACTCAGGTGTAGAGACACTGAATGAATTGTTCAAGGCCACTCAATTAGGATGTGATGGAGCTGGGACTAGAACCACTTTCTTGTGACCTGAGCCTTCTTAACCTCTATGCTTGGATGTAAAGGGCTTTGTATGAAGCCGAGTACATAGTGAGCACTCAAATAAAATCCTAACTACTTGCAGTTTTCCATGCTCTCACTTATCTTTGCCTCTTTGTATATAACAGATAAATGATGATTGATAGATCAATACATAGGTAGGTAGATAGAACAGACTACTACTTTTTTATGCCATGCCTTTACTATCTTACTCATCTAATGGCTTTAGCTCCTGAAGTCTGACGATCCTTTTAGAAGAGAGACTTCCTAAGAACGCTTCATTGCGCTCCCCGTCTGAGTTAGCTGTTTTCCCTCTGCTCCGACGGCCACCTCTCTGCACCTAGCAGACCCCACACCTGCCCACCGAGCCCGCTAAGGCCCAGCACAGTCCCCGGAGCAGAGCAGGGAGGCACCACGGAATGAAGACATGAATGAGCAGAAGAATCTCTAACCACATCTTTTTCTTCCATACACAGCTAACTTTTCCTACAAAAATTAATGAAGGAAAATTCCTTTGTAAATACTTACTTTCTTTAGAAACTCACAATTTCTTTTCCCCACCTTGCCTTTCTCCTACCCGTTTCTTTTCCACTGCATTTAGTAGAACGTCATTGCTCATGAGCTCTCAGAAGGAGGAGCACGCGACTCATGGGGCACACCGTGCTCCCACCGCACTGCTGGCATACAGCAGGCGCTCAAGAAACGTGTTAAGTAAATTATTTACTCACTTCTATTAGTTTTATTATAACCTAATACCTCAGGAGAGTCTGCCTAAGAGAAGAACTTAGAGCAATAAAAGGCACAACGTAACAGAGTGATCACCTTCCCACATTCCTTCACATCTTAGACGGCATTTGTAGCACAAATCCAAGGAATTAAAAAATTTAGGTTGCGGTATTATTCTGCTTTTTTGGTCCCCTCTGGAAATCCCCATCCACCTTTCCCTCTGTGTGCCGGTCAATTTTTTGCTGCTCTGCCCACAGCCTTCCTCATGCCCTTAACACCTAATCCTGATCTGAGCTGAACTGATCCCCGCACTTGGTGCTACGAGCCTCATGCCAGGCAAGCGATTTCCCAACCCTGATTCACATTCTTACACTCTCGCTGTCTCTCTCTTTTGTTTTTTTGCTTTCCAAACATTTCATTTCTAATATTGGGCTCATTCATTCGCAAACTATTCATTCACTAACTCTAGCCCTATGAAAACCTTGTATAGTTTTACTACGAACACTAAATTTCACCGAATGCACTTTTCTGTAACTTAAGAGAGCTGAGCCTAGCAAACGACCTGCAGTATGTCCAACCCCAGAATCACAGAAATATAACGTGAGCATTCTGGTCTTTCCCAGCTCCTCACGCACACTGCTTTCTTCATGCACGAGAAAACCTAAACACTACAAAAAACAACAAACAAAAACCCCAAAACTCCGAGGATCTCATATGAAAGAAACTTTCCACACTCTCCCTCCAGCCCAGCTCAGCATTTTTGGCCACGCAAACGCCTGAAATGTTGCCTGCTGTTGAAAGCTAAAAACAAATGAAAATGTAAGGACAGGACGAGATTTGATTCTTCTGTGACTCAAAATCCTCTTGTGGTTGTTAAATGAACTCTGAGGAACACAGTCTGATATTTTTTAACACCTTCTGCAGGTATCTGTTAATATTTACATTAGATGTGGATAGTTAGTGAAAATCCAGTGGCTTTGGGGAAACTCTCTGTTGACTAAGTTGAGGCTCATAAGGCGTTTCAGCAGATATAGAATCATCAACAAGAGAATGATGATACTCTAAGACTCCTGACTCCAAGTTTCTTGTTTTGATTATTAAAAATATCCTGCAGTTAGGCGTAACCCTACAGTCGTGTCTAAACTTTGGGTTTATAATTCTCATGAGTTCTGACTGCAGGCTAAAGTCTACTTCCCCTTTGGGGAGAAGCTATTTCTTTACTTAAGACACATTTTCAGGAGATTACAAGGTGATCACATCTTTATTCACTTATTTCCAATGCACTGTAAGCTAAAAAGAGTTTAACGTTCAATTATCATCTCTTGCATATCAAATTAAATAGAAGGTCCCTAGTATCCACCCAAGTTGAAATGCAAACAAAAGCATGATGTCATAGTGCCACTGTCCCCTGCCCATTCCTCGCCCATGGCAGATGCCAATTAATTGATTGTCAGTCTCTCCCACTGAGTTTGGACTGAACCTGAGAATCCTTCTTATCCTGGTTCTGCGGAGAGTTACCGTCCATCAGCTATAGATTGATATTTGAGATGAAATTTGTCTTTTCATGCCTGTACTATCATAATAACTATAAGTGTGGAATCTATTTATCAGCTTTCTAACAACAGTAAAAGTACATCGTCAGTAACAAATGCTAGAGGCAATACTTTCAAATAAGGAATCCTTCCTGACTGCTCTCTCTTCACCATGTTTGTTCCATGAACAGCGCGGATGGGGTCTGCAACTGAACCCAGGAGTCACACCGACAGTCAGCTGCCTGATTGCACTGTCCTCGGCGGCCACGTGCCAACTTCCATGCTTTTCTCACCCAAGCCCCCATAATCCATTTACAAGGTACCTAACACAGGAGAAATACTTGGTAAATATTTACTAAATAAGTGAACAAGTAAATAAATAATTGGTGCAGGGGAGGAAAAAAAAAGAGACAGAGAATCAGTTCCCAAGGCTGGAGTTACTGGGCCTGAGCCCTGGGGCTGGTTGCAACCTAGAATTCTGAATCAGGGTCATCGCATCTACGTACACTGTAAGGGGAAAAAGGGTTACAAGACACAGTCTCTCTGGCCTCGGGTACCAAACTGGTGAAGAGTTCTGTTTCAGAGGCCTCAGATGATGGACACAGCAGCCACA